TAGAATTCCACCAGAAGTACTGAAAACAGATGCAGAGACAACAGCGGGCACGCTCACACCACTATCGCAGAAGGTTTGAAAGGAATGAAAGGTACCTGCAGATTGGAAGAAGGGCTACCTTGTCAAACTCCCAAAGAAGGGCAACCTAAGTCTTTGCAAGAACTGGTGCGGAATCATGCTCCTGTAACCACAAGCAAACTATTCAGCTGCATCATCCTGGAAAGACTAAAAGATGCGCTGGATTCAATGTTAGGACCAGAACAGGCTGGCTGGCTTCAAGAAAAAAATAAATCATGTCCAGATCAAATTACAACGCTACACTACGCATCATCATAGAAAACAGCACAGAACGGCAGTCAACTCTCTACTTCAACTTCATCGATTTTGAAAAGGCCTTCGACAACGTCGACCGACAAGTAATTTGGCAGTTGCTTCGACACTATGATTTTAGTGCCACAAATCTTTATCAATCTCATTCAACAGCAGCTATATGAAGACGCTATATCCCAAGTGATTCACAACAGACAGCTCACTGATGCCTTTGAAGTGAAGACAGGAGTAAGACAAAGTTGCCTACTATCACCAACGATCTTCCTCATTGTGGTCGACTCGACTGGACTGGATCATGCAACAAACTGTGAGGAGCGAGAAGATCGGCATACGTTGTTTGACCGATGTAAAGACCCTAGAAGATTTCGATTTCACCCATGACGATTTATGTCTAGGTGTACGGGCGAAAACTAACAAGCTGGGAGTAAAGACAGGGCAGCGAAGACGGGATTTCCTCCAGGTGAACATAGAGAAGACACAGGTGATGAAGATACTCAACACCACCACTAACAACAACATGCACCAATCACCACCAACGGGAGGAATGCGAAAGGAAGTAGCCTATTTCACCTACCCACCTAGGTAGCATCGTTTCAACTACAGGTGGTGGCGGCACAGATGAGGATATCAAAGCCAGGATCGGAAAGACAGCAAGACAGGCCTTCCTTCATTAATCTGAAATCAGTGTGGAAATCCACTGCATTGCACTCAACTCAGCATAAAGAAGAAGATCCGGATTTTCAACACTAAGTCAGTTAAGTCAGTGCTTCTATATGGTTGAGAGACTTGACACTTTGCGAAAAGTATGGCTATAGTGCAGTGACTTTCAACCAGTCCCTCACGTGTTTGAACAATTCTCCACCTATCAAGGTTTGAGCAGCCAAGTAGTAGTATCATTAGGTGTATCTATGCCCACAAAGTCGCCAAGATGGTCTACTTCACTCCTTTTCAGGATAAAATGCATAATTCAAGTTGGTATTCATCGTAGACTGACATCAGTTGGAGGACCAATGGAAACCTGGGAGCACTGGACAAGTGTATCGTCCTAGTATGAGACTCCTCAGTAGTGCGCACCCACGACCCCGCGGCCTTCAGGTTCCGTGGTCAGCACGTTACCATTGAGCCACTGGTTAGGAATCCAATGGTCTATATTTCCAACTAGTCCTCATTGGTAACTAGCTTCGAGAGGTGATTCCCGAAGTGCAGCAAACCTGGTGGCCGTGAGGACAAATACTCAACGATAACATTGGGTAATTGTCGCGCTGTCATGGACTGTCAATAGTTGGAAACATGGACCATTGGATTCCGAACCAGTGGCTCAATGGTAACGTGTGACCATGGAACCTGAAGGCCGCGGGTTCGATCTCTGGCGGGGTCGTGGGTGCGCACTACTGAGGAGTCCCATACTAGGACGATACACTTGTCCAGTGCTCCCAGGTTTCCATTGGTCCTCCAACTGATGTCAGTCTACGATGAATACAAACTTGAAATATCTCTAAATCCCCACAAACCCCCCAAATTCAATTAAAATGTATCAGCCTAAAATTTTCTGAAATTGAGACCAGAGTAGAAATCTTACAAACAAAGAGATCAATTATTCCATTTTAGTCCGCTTATTAGATATGTCATACAGTGGTATAGTATTGTTTACTGGATTACGCTTGGGGACAATTTATTGTCCTGATATGAATATGGATGATAAACTGTGTCCGAAATGTTATCCAGTAAATGACATTGTTCCACAGAGGTATGTGTGTTTGTGATACATCGCATAAACAGAAACTGAAATGGAATTACAATCTACCGCAATATCCAAGGTTAACTTTTATGTTAAAAGTGGATCAATTCAGTTTCTCTCACACTTAAACCAACGGCCTATTTCTCTGGTTAATAAAACAAAGTTAGTATCAAACAGAAAGGTGTGAGAAATCTCGCTTATGTAAAACCTAAACGAAAGTAAAGATCAGACAAGGTTACTTGAAGATCACTAACCGGCTTAAACAGCTGTTAATTCAAATTTCTTGTTCATTTACAATCAATTTAAAAATTGAAGTCATAGTGAGTAGGGCATAAAAACTTTGAGTTGAAAACAATAAGGATACTAATCAGGAAAAAATGAATATGACAGACAAAATCAATGTAGGACATCGCACACAAGCGCTTCATCTCGGCTTTCCACACTTTGTAGAAGTATGCAAAAGGAAATGGATAGAAAAAGAGTGATATTAAAGTGGACAAAGTTGTTTGACAGGATAAGCAATCTGAAGACGAGTTCGCAACCACCGATTCCCATTCTTTAAGAGACCTTACCCAGGTAGTTAAGATGTCTACATGGCTCAAACCACTTAGTTGAGGACTTCACGAACTGATGCTACGTGTTGGTCTAACCATCTTGAATCCTCCTCCAACTCCCTTTAGCATGGCACATCGAGGTAGGCTGTGGCTCAGTAGGCGCAGTACATGTCTAGCCCACCTCAGTCGAGTAAGGTTCAAAACCTCATCAATAGACTTGCCCGTCTTGCCTACCCTTCGTCTGACCTCAAAATTGCTCACATGATGATTTCACCAAACCTGAACAACGCTATTAGGATACCTGTGATCAAACGCGTATAACCACCTCATATCTACTTTGAACGGTCATGTTTTACAGTTGTATACCACAACAACGAACTACAGCACAGCATACTCATCCTTTGATAGATAGTCACCGATTCCACAAATGACGCAAGTTGGCAAATGACAAACAGGTCTTATGTATCCGATTTGAGCTATCATCATCAGCCAATGCATTCGCGCTGAAGCAATTTCCCAAGTGAAGTGGTAGACACATTCCACCAATTTATTGCCTACCATCAAACTGGGTGTACTTAAAACAGACTAGTTTCGAAGTATCTTCTTACACTTGACAGGTGAAAGTGGAACGCATGCCAAACACACTCAGATTTCTTCTCAACTCCTCCGGAAGACCCTACATTTTGTCAGCGTCTTCACCCAACAGAACAATATCGTCTGCATAATCCGAGTTAACCACATGACCTCCATGGAGTAGATTAATCCCTGTAAAGTCAGACGTACCTAGAGTAATGCGCATTAGTACGTCTATAAGGAAGTTAAATAGGAATGATGACGATGAACATCCCTAGCGAACACCACTAGTTGTTCTCTGTTCAAATGACAACTCTCCATAAGCGTTTTCATGGTTGCATGAGTTCGAGTAGAGAGCTTTTATTAGCGCTACATACTTGGCCGGCACTCCTCTCACAGTCAGACACTGCCACAACATCTCACGGTCGACACAGCTGGACACTGCCTTGAAGTCAAGAAACAAGGAGAGCATCGGCCACTGTCCGATAAGTATGTCTGTGTTCCAGAACCTATCGTAGAATAAACATCTGATCGATTCAGCCTAGTCCAGGTCTGAGACCTGCCTTCGTTTCTCGACTTTGTTGTTCTAGAGCTCTAACTGGGTGTTGAAAAACTATGAATCTTAATATCTTGGACATGATATTAGTCAAAATGGTTCCTGTATGCTTGTCACAGGAAGAATTTTCCCCTATCTAATAAGCTGCTTTGGTCAGTGAAGTAGACCAGTCTGACGGAACTACCTCTGATCCCAAAATACTAAGCAATACCTTAGTTACTTTGCTCAGCAATTTCCTACCGTAATCCTTGAAAACTTCAGGCGGAAGGCTATCAGGTCCTTTTGGTTTGTATTTCAGGTTCGATACAGCCTTCTTAACTTCAAGAAGAGTTGGAGGACCAACATCTACGTCCCATTCATGCTGAGGCTGGGTGTTGGGTAGCTGAAACGCTCCTGGAAGTCAGTTAAAGTGAGCTTCAAATTCTTCTGCCAAACATTCCAGCCGCCTGATCTGGAAAGTTATTAGTATTCCATTCTTTTCTGTGATTTTTCACTCACCATCGCCTTCTTCTTACCGGCATCCTTAACAACCCTAAATAGTTCCCGAGCTCAGTTTTCTCACATAAATCAGTTTAGATGACGTCGCGGTAATCCAAAGAAGTTTAGCATCCTTCAGGTGTAGATTACCAATTGTCTTCGCCACTATTTCTACAGAAGACTTAATATCACACCAAGTTCCCTCAGCATGAGCATTGCTGTTACGTTCTATCCTATCGATGTAATTGAGCAAAATAATCTGGTTTACCAAATCACGTACGATGATTGTGAGGTCGAATACATAGGTCAAAGTAGTCGACCAGGAACGATTAGAATAACAGAGCACAAAAACTCAGCTAAGTCAAGATTAGTGGATCCTAATAAGATAAAAATTTAGAGAAAAGCTCAGCTATAGCTATGCATGCAATTACACACAATCATACAGTAGGATGAGATAGAAGGACAGTGTTAAAAACTAACTTATTTGGATGGAGGGAGAGGTTGATAACTGAATCTATGTTTATCGAATCAACACCAAATAAATGCATTAATAGAAATGATTCTGCAATCGCCCCAGATATATGGAAAATTCTACTGCCTTTATCAGAAAATTAGGAATATATAAAGTCGGTCTCGAAGTTGTGGAGCTACCTGATATGATTATGGATGATAAATTGTGTCCAAAACATGATATTGTTTCACTGTGTGATATTTCTAATAAACAGACTATGATGTAATAACAAATAATTGTAACTCTATTATATAAACTTACTCCAGTATGGAACAGGAGAGGCAGTACAATTGAACTGTTGAACAACTGGAAGATTTGTTAACCCTTCTAATGAGTTTTGATACAATTTAAACCAAGGCAAATTAGCTAAGCATAGAAGTACACAAGCTGTATAACTTAATCCATGCGCCCAATGAAGATTTCTACGAAGTTTTTGTGCTATCATTAAATTCACTAATTCTTCAGTATTACCATCATTTTGACCTTCTGAGTAAAGAATAGTATTATCCTTTACATTATTATTATTATTATTATTATTGTATAAAGATTTATGGGATGAATTTGCTTCCTTTGACAAATTATTCAATAATATTGAATGTTTAGTTTGTGAATATCCAGAAGATGATGAAATCCAGGGGAAATTAGCGAAAAAACTGCTTAGAACAAGTAAAATTATTGAAATAATTAACAGGATTAAACGTATGAAACTTGAATAAGTTAAATATGGATTAGATAGAAAATATACATTTCTATGTGTTGTTAACAAAGTATTATTCTTCATTAAAGATAATGTAGAAGAGAAATTATCCGGATAGATTAATAAAGATGAAATAAACAGAATACAAATTATACAATTAAGGAGAATAAATACATTTATCTCTGTTTGACGATATTTTAAAATGAAATAATTTTTATAATATCTATAAACTTTCGGTGTTATATAATAATGATTTGTAGATGAATTTAAGGTGAACCAATTATATAGACGATTTTTTATATTCAATAGACAAGTTTGTTGATGAATAAGACAATGATTCGATGTTGGTGAAGATGGTAATAATAACAAGTCATTATGCATATCCTTCTTTGAATGTTGACTTGATGAAGTATATTGTGATACTTTAATTGGTAAATGACTATAATTAAAATTACTCAATGAATTTGATTTCATATTAATAGTTTGATTTGATAAAATTATTGATGAATTATTTCCTATTGAAGATGATAATGATGTTATTGGTTTCAACTTAAAAAATGATTTCAATTGATGAAATTTAAACCAAGAATATTTATTATCTTGATTAATTGATGATATATTATTGGATGAGAGTAAATGAACTCCAGCTACATCGTATAATTCTACTTCAGGTCCACGTCGTGTAGAAAGTTGTAAACCATTAACATTTGGGAATGTTATATCCAAAAATGATGATTTAACAAGATGATGTTTATCGACTTTTAATTGATGAGTAGTTAACCAATTTTCATATTGTGGTTCATTTATCTTAGTTTGTATATTAGGCATAGCTATGTGTATCACGGAACTACTACTAGATGATGAGTGATGATTTTTCAAAGATGAATTGAAAATAACAACTTATACATCATCCTAAAAGAAATATACATTAAAATCGATCAAATTGATTGAGAGAGAAATCTTTAAGGTTTATGAAAATTTTAATGGTAGAACTGATATCAACTGATGAACTAGTAAAAATGTGAGGGTGTTAGACAGGTGTTTTGTACAACCTAACCTGATAGGGATCGAACACCCCACCTTCAGGTTTCACAGCGAATACGTTAGCTATTCTCATCTAATGAAGTTAATGTTTGATGGTTCACAATTTTCTACTTCTGACTGTTTGATCGCACATATCATGGTCTTATCATCACAACTTTGGGAGCCTATACTGCTCTCAGGTTTTCAATGGTTCTCTAAATAATCTCAGTTCATGATGAATACTACCTTAAAAAATCTTTACACTAATAAAAGATAACTTCAGTAAAACAAAGTACTATCATATCATAGACAAATTTTGGTCTATAGTTATATCAAGATAATATGATAACACAAGGTGTGGTGTGGATTTCAACATCTTACTATAGGAAAATCTGATAGATTTCATCAGCTTAGCCTAAATTACTGGGTCGGAACATCAGTCTTCGGGTACAATTTACATGTAAACACATAAAGCCTCTGCACAATAACCACTAATAGGAAGTAGAAGAGACAGAGGCAATAATAATATTAGTAAAATAAAGTTTGTGCTTACTAAGACTGGAACTTAAAAGGATAGGTTAAAAATTTACTCAAAAAGAAAACGACTAAGTCTTTAAAATATGTCCCGAAAACTGTAAAACTTCATCTTCATTTAATATAGTATTTAGAGACTGAGCACAATAATCACCCTTGATGACTTTGAAAGTAGGAATAACTCTTTCTGAATGATAAAATCAACGTATAAGCTCGCACACAAGTGCACACTTCACAGTAGTAGAGTAGAAAAACTTGTATGATAGAATAAACAATTTGAAGGTAAATCTTGGTGCAAATATTCAAGCTTTAGAAAATATCAGAGTGAATATATCTGAGCCACTGTGACTAACAGTCCTTAGCCACTGACTTTTGTCGTCTGTATCTTTCTACACGACTCAGAACAGCAGTCAACGGCTTCGCCCGTTAGTGCCACTTCTTGGTCTGGGGATTCTGAATCCTCTTACAACACCTAATCCAGCTTTCCCTACCATAGTGCATTTAGTTAGGTGGTGACCGCATGCATAGTACATATCCAGGCCATTTCAGCAGAGTAAAGTTCACAACCCCATCAATCCCGTTGCCCACCTTGCCTAGTACCATTCGCCTCAACCCAACATTTCTCACGTGATTTTACTAAACGCCAGCAATACTACGAAGACACCTGCGATCAAACGCCCATAATATTGTTTCTGGTCTAGACAAAGGTGTTAAGTATGTCCGTTGCGCCTTTTTGGATTACTCAACAGCTTTTCACTCTGTTCCTAGACCACTTTCATTAAATAAGCCTGCCATAGCTCATACTCAGCCAAAGGTTACAAAGCGGCTGTATTCTTATTTCTTTGAAGAAAAAAAACAGTATACCGTCTATAAAGGGAAGCGCTCCACTTCATTGCTTACTGAAGCTTAGGTGCCTTAAGGTGTTGTACTTCCTCCTTTTCTGTTTTCGTTCTTTTTGCACAATTTATCTTATTCTGTTGAAACTAATTTCATCAAGTATTCTGATGACCTGATGGCGTCTATTCCAGTCAACTCTCATTTAGATTGCTCAGAATTGAGTGGATTCTTGCCTGTTGTTGACTAATGGTCTCAAGTGAAACTCTTCTAAATGTCGGACTGTTAATTTTAGCCTCAAGTGTAAACAAGACTTGTGTGAACTGCTTAAATTTCATGACGCCTGTTGCATAGATGGTATTTGTGCAGAAAGTAAATCGAGTGTTATCTTGGGTTGAGTTTTACTCCTGATCTTTGTTGATTGTCTCATATCTTGTTGACTCGTAAAAAATCTTTCGTCCAACGTATTACATGAAAAAACTGAGGCTGTCTAGCATCACTCAACATCTACTTTTATAATTTATTAATTTCTGCATTTTACCATTCTTTATTGTTCCCCACTGATCTTTTCTGATCTTCTAAAAAAGGATTATATGTTGTGTAGGGCTTTGAAAGCCGTCAGCAGGGTGAGTGTGTCTCTGGACATTTAAATTCTAGCAAGCATCTACTTCATTCACAGCTCTCCCCATGTATCTCCTCTCAGGGAGGACAAGAAGAAATTATATAAGACTGCATGCTCTTACAGCTAAGTATAAGAATTGGATTGTATCTTACAATGCACGCATATCATGTGAGGAAAAAATTGTTAGTACAGAACTCACATATCAACTTTGTAACAGTTAACAACCGCATTTCAATAATTCAACTAATAATGTAAAGTGTTCTCGTTTTTAATACTTTTTACACCAGTTGAGATTTTTCTGATAACACAATTCAAAATGTTGTAATAAAGTATAAACATCCATACATCTTGTTGCTATTGCAATATATCATCTGAGAATTCCAAATTGTACTACAAATTGTTTGGAATAAAGTGAATTATCATTATTATTATTAATGTTACTGTTATTATTATTGTTAACTGCTTCCTATCTTTTGACTTTAACGGTTGTCTTACAGCCGTACACTGCAACATAGTATACCCATCCTTTGATAGATAGTCGAATATCTCACCGATTCCGCAAAAGACGCAAGTTGGCAAACAACAAACGGGTCTTATGTATCCCAGTTGAGATATTATCATCAACCAACTCGTTCAGGCTGACGAAATATCCCAAGTGAAGTAGTCGACACATCTAACAATTCATTGCTTATCGGCAAACTGGGTGTACTTTCAGCATACTAGTCCTGGAGCCTCTTCTCATACTTGATAGGTGAGAGCGAAACATGTGCCAAACACACTCAGATTTCTGTTAAACGCTTTTCGAAGACCGTGGATTTTGGCAGTGTTAACTCAATATATGAAGAAGTGTTGAAGGATTTTTATTATCAAGATTTATTACTGAATATTTCCGATGGTTTTATTTTACCGTTGGTTTGCTATTCATCATATAGAGCAAAATCTACCCTTATTTGCCTGGTGATCATGATGAATACATTCTCGATTTTAGCTAAAACATGCAGTGGTTACTTTGAACTAGCTCGCCTTAAGGAGCATTTGAAGTTTTGTTGTTGCACGATTTTTATTGCAGTAGGTTTCAATGTTCATAAACTTGAAAAATATACGACAAATCAATTACACATGCATAGCTGGCTACCATTAGTCGTGCAAAATTAGACGGAGTTTATTCGGCACCAAGTGAAAATGTAGCTTACTGGATTGTGAAGTTAACACGTAATCAGTGGGCCACGTATTCGAACTCGGCTTCATCTACCGCGGTTTCGGCAATCAGGTAGTAATATTAATAACTCTGTCAATAGATGTGATTCACTGCCTACTGCACAAGGATGTTGGCTGCATTTTTCGAATCAAATTACAAACTCTGGAAACTATATGACAAAACATTAAAACATTAAGCTTGGAAACTTCAAAACGGAGCCCTTTCCCAGCCTCAACCTAATGCAGTTAATATTACGCAGACAGTGACTAGACATGCGTAACATATCCCAGCCATCTCAGTCGATGGAAGTTAATAACCGCAACAACTGACATTCCTCTCCCCCACTAAAACTTGACACGAGGAGATGAGAGTCAATCGATGCGATTGTGAACCTTCATCGACTCAGATGGCTTGGATGTGTGTTACTCATGTCTAGTCACCGTCTGCTTAGTCATGCAAAGTAGATTCAGGCATTACAATGTAACGATCCAAGTTTCGACAAGTCATTTAGTACATCAAATAACAAAGCAATAAGACAAAAGATGAAGAAACAAAGAAAAACCGGTCAAATGCAGTAGAAAGCACAAAAAGTGAGGAAGGAGAAGTAAGTAAATGCTGAAATCAGCATAGCGATTAAGATATGAATACTTATTGTGTGAGGGCGAATGATACTGAGTGGCTGCCCAAACCTCAATAGTCAGAACAGTGTTTGAACCCGTGATCCCCTGGCCGAAAGTCAACTCTCTAAATTACCGAGTCACAACCACACCATTCATAGTCCATTAACTACTTTTTTAAATATATTTTGGAAAATTTTGTTAAATCAATAACTACCAAGGGACGTATTATGTTCAGCGATGAATCTAAATCCATTAGCCTTCCTGAAGTCTTGATTTCATATTTAGAAATCCTGTATAAATATATCTAAACTATATCGGTAATTTAACAAACTCATCATCATCATCATCATCATTATCAACATAGGACCAGGCATTACTGCGTAACGGTCCGAGTTGCCACACCTCATATCAGCACATCAAGTAAAAAGGTAGTGAGGTGAAGGATGAAGATAAGTGAATGCAGTCAAAAGAAATATAAAGTACGAGTACGAGCTCAACGTATGTTTTGTTAAGTGACCAGTTTATTTAACAAACTGGTCACTTAACAAAACATACGTTGAGCTAGCCAAACTGTAGACAGGTATTGAAAACGTTCCTGAACAAATTTTAAATCGGAAACTTCATAGGAACATTATTATTGCGATCTTTAGGCTGGATTCACAATAATCTCTTGACTTTTTTTTCTACAATTATGATAGTCAAACTAAGTCTAACGACGGGACAACTAACAAAGGAATGAATGAATCCCTACAGTAATTTAGCATAACACATTCAGTTTGTTTCCTGTTGTAAGGATATCAATTCATGAAATGAAGGTTAGGTGTTTTTTGGCAAATTGATTTGATAAATCGGCAATTTATTAGCAATTCGTAGACAAGAACTGTTGAACTCGTCAGTTTTTATTCCCAAAATGTCAAGAAAGAAGTCATTAAGAATATGGTACTTGGCAATACTCCAGAAGTCCCCACTTCTCATGTTCGCACATGAAGATACAAATCGGTAAGATAAAAGATGCATAAATAGAAAGGAAAGGTGAAATCAGTAATTTCAGAAAGTAATAAGGTTGTTAAGCATATTAGACAATTCCATATAAACATACAAATTAACGAACCTAGGGCACAGAACAGCATCACATTAAATTCCCAGACATCACAGTAGCATATAAAGAAAAGGTGGATAGAAAAGGAATGACATTTAAGTGGACAAAGATGCGTGAGAGAAAAGAACTTAAACAGATGAATATCAATGAAAATATTCGACACTTCGAAGACAACGAAGAGTACATACGTTTGTGCTATTGTGATTAGTTTTGAACCATATTATCGACAATCTTCAACCAGTGATTCAAATCATCTCAGGTTTTCTATTCACGCTGATTACAGCTTCCTATACATTTGAGACTAACAGACAAACAGTCCCAAGCACTCGTGACATGTTTCGGTAGGGCCATCCTCAGCCTATTTTAATCTACTATTAAATAAAAATTTGATAGTTGAACATCATGTGAAGTAGGTCCTGGCAGTCACCACTTATCCACGACCACCTACATCACGTGTTCTGACCAATCGACCGATAAAATGGGTCTTTTGTCACTAATATCAAGAGTACAATATTTTTAAAATAATCATTTACTTTTCTCAAGGATGCAGCATAGTGTTCAGTTCACCCCCGTTTGCCTAGATTAGAGTAAACAGCACATTCCCTAAATCTGATGTCCCAACTGTCTACTGTAAATTGTGCTCAACCCTTGCTTGAAGTTTAGCAGCCTGTAGGTAAATAGCAACAGTTGCACATACTGTCATATAAAAATGAAGAAGTGAAAAACAGGCAACTGCGCTGAAGATTATTTACAACGCCACATGATGTGCGTAAAAAGACTGTTGTTCAGTCGCCTCAAGCTTTAAGCTAACCACCAGCATTTCGGCGAGAAAATGATGTCCACAATTCACTCTGTAATACGCGATACACTTGCAAGTGAGAGAAATCCCGCTGAGTCGTAAGGTTTACATCGTATCACAGAAAAAAGCACTAATGCATAGTTTCCGCCATCCGACATAGAAAATCAATATCATAACGAATGCAACTAGCTGCATCCTGTTTATATTTGCGAAGAGCATTCCAACTGATACCGAGCCCAACATCAGTGAACTAACAAAACATGTCAACGAACTAGCGCTCTATAAGTGAAATTATCGATACGAGGCTGAGTCTTCGTATATGCCAAAATTATACGAGACGCTGGAACGCATACAGCAAATAAATGCATTGACAGCTGTATAGAAACATCAGCCACGATCCTAAAGAAATGAAAACCGTCCTTAGGAAATGTTAAATGAAACTCCGAAATTTTATTTAGGATGCTAGCAGAAAAGCTAATAACGAAAGCTCATTTAAGGAAAATAATGTTGTAACAACTTTTTCGTGCAGTAAACGCGACCCCATCTCACCAAATTACTTTTATTACATATGTGAGAGATGGAAAGTCCCACATTATTAATTCAAAAAGCAAGAAAATTACGACACACCTACCCATAACACCTCAAGGTCACAACACAATGCAAAGACAGAAATCCATTTAGCCCGCTGCTAAAATTGCTGAACGTAAGTAGGTCAACCAAACAAAGACTGAGTTGCTGAAATTAGCTACACATACTTCGTATCCAACATCCAATATTGCAGGTGGGAACGTCTAAAAGTGGTAGTTTTTCATCTCTCGTGTCTAGTTCTCAGTGCTTGGTTTGAGTTGCTTCTCATCAGTCAACTTACTTTAAGATTCAGTGAAGTGCGTGTTTGTGGCTTAGTAAATTGCAGTTTTCAGAGTGCTTGAGGAGCCGCCGGTTGCAGGGAAGATTCACGGTCTGTCGTGACTCCCACGTGAGCAGCTGCTTGAAAAGTAATAGTGAAATGCTACGGTAAAAATATGACAATCAACCGAAAGAGAAAAGTAGATGGCTAAAATCTCGTTTCCAGAGGAAAATTAGTACCTAATGTACACGTATTCAGAAGGGAGGCGGTGAGTGGCAGTCGGAAGGGAAGTAAAGGCGAGCTACTGAGATTAGTGATTACCAAGGCACGTCCGTGGTAGAAAGTAAACTGAAGGCGTCGATCAACGGCGATTGACAATAACCCGAGTACAGATATTCCATATAGCGCAAACTCTCAGGGATCAAAAATTGGACCTGATTAAAGCACCGGCTCCCTGATGTGCTGCCCTAATGTGGTTTTTTCCTGAAGACCACTTTCACGCAGGCAACGTCGATTTGTTTGCGTCGGTTGCTTGATGGGAGATGTCGTAGGCCACAACGAGGTCGCCACTCTTCCTACGATAACCCTAGATGAACAACTATAGGTGCTTTGGTATTTTGAGGTTTGCCATCCCCCTTAAATATACAGATCACTTCGTTGCAGGTCTGTGCATCTTATCAAATGAGATTAGAGTCTCTCTTAAGTACTGGGGGAGTCACCATATTGAAGACCTCTAGATGCGGCCGCACGCATGATTTGAAGATGGTGAGGAAGAGTTCGGGAGTGAGGGCTCCAAGCTGTCTACGCAAAAAGTGTAGGACGGCATTTGCCCTGCTTGTCACACCTTTGTAGTTGGAGCTGGTGTCCAGGGTGTCGTAGACGTTGAGCCCCAAATCCTTCTCCATGGACACTCTAGTGATAGCACGGTTGCTCAACATATACTGGAAGTCGGTCGTACTTGCTTCATATTTGCTGATGTGCATTACCTTCCACTTTTCCAGGTTGAAGTTGAAGCCATTTTCCGACAACCAGAGTTCGAGTTGCTGCAAGTCCCTTTGTACTGCAGTACAATCAGCTTCTTCGTTTGCCACCCTCCAAATTTTTTATGTCGCCAGCGAAGAGGAGGATGGGTGAGGATATTTTATCTGGCAGATCGTTGACAAACAGGAGGAACAGAAACGGTCCTAGGATTGCTCCTTGGGATACTCCTGGCGTCGAGGGCCTCCACTCCGACCTTATCCTGTTTATTTTAGTGCAGAACTGCCTCCGTTCCAGGCACTCCTTGAACAAAGGGGGTAGGGGTTCACTTGCACCAGCTGACATGATCTTGTGATGCAGGGCTGTGGGTGGGACACTGTTAGATGCTTTGGCTCCGTCCAGAAATACAACATGTACCGGTTCTCCGTTATCTCAGCTGAGTGTCCAGTCGTTCCAGGCGGTTAGTACGTTGGTGGCACATAAGCGTTCACTCCGAAAGCCATGCTGAACAGTGTGCACAGTGTTTCCCCATTGGGGAATTCCCAGATGGTGTCAGCTGTCAGGCTTTCCAACACTTTCGACACAATATGGAGTAGAGCAATCGGCCTGTAGCTGTCAGGGCTTTATCTGTCTCCTCCGTTGAAGATGGGTGACAACATGGAGCTCTTCCATTCCTTAGGGAGTTTGCACTAATCTACTGAGTGCTCAAAAAGATTGCGAAATGGTTTAGTAAGCAACTCGGTGCAGTTTTTCAGGGTCACTGTTTTTAGGCTATCACAGCCAGGGGACTTGCCTGGACGTAGCCTAGACAGTTTCTTGAAAACTTTTCTTTGTAATTGAGATGTGTCAGAGGTATTCGTTGTTTGTGACCCGATCAGTGTCGTAACGACAAGAGTCGCGACCGCTCCCCAATCGTCTCAGCAACCCGTAGCTCCTCACTCACCCTGCAAACTACAACTTACCGTATTTTATTGCTATAGCTCACATTGCCGCATCTGCAGCGCTACTTATCTCATTCGATCATATACCTTGGACTCGTGGGGGCTCTTGGCTTTCTTCCGTGTCGCGCAGCTGGGCAGTCCTGCGTACGGTTGACAACTTACTTTATCTGTCATTACTTTTCTACGTTTCACCTGATTCATCCATGTGTCATTTATATCCTCCTTATCACCTGCGGGAGTGAGCAACAACTGAGTTCCATCCAAATCTGGTCCCAGGAACATCTCAGCTACTAACCTCCCTATCCTTGGTAGTAACTCCGGCTGGATGCAAGAGGTTTGATGCTGCCGCAAAAGATCACAAGTTGACCTCACGAGGACAGTTACGACTATCACTCCCTGCGGAAGGTTGAGGTCCTGCCCCTCTGAACCCTTGTGCTCTAGTTCATCAAAGAGCGTGGCCTTCTGCTACCACTGGCCCCAAACCCTAATCCGCCTGTGAAGGCTACACAGGGAGACGGAGGAGAAGGAAACGAACGTCTCTGACCAAACCTTCTGGTCAGGCTGATGACCATCGTACCTGTGGCCTCACCGTAGCCAAAGGTGATACCGCTTTTGAGTGTAACACACACAGTAAGTGGGTACATGGTCAGTATGATGAGGATATACCAGACCAACATTACGTTTTCATGGCGCGCTACCCATGCACGTGGTTCTGGTACATTTGCCCACAGCGACGTTTTAGGCCACTCTTTTCTACCGACTTGCTTGTGGAGGTCGTAAAAGACGTTACGATGGCCACTGTGATGCTGGCACCCATGCGGACCACTACCCTAGGTTCAAGCGACAAGAGTGTCAGCACCGTTCCCCGGACGGTCACACTTGTGAATGGTCAAAAAAGACCCAAACGACGACCAGACACGTGATCAACCACATTAGTTCCTAACCCTGAAGTCGCTTTGACGGCTACCTCTACTGTAAATAGGGAAAATGGGTCACGGTGGAAAAGAAGTCGCACCCTTCCCATGAAAACCCACTCACAGTAAACGACCACAGAGATGCCGATGGCGGGCCGAATTCCGTGATCCTATTTAGCGTCCCTGTGTGCCATGATAGCCTTCCTGAGAACAGTACTTTGATAAACGGCAATGGCAAAACATATGCGCTGTATTAGGACCGGGCAGCTTAAAAGTAAGGCTGTGCCGGCTCTGCAGAGGCAGCTACTCGCCTCAGGGAAAGCCCCTGCCGATGAGAGTGACCCTGAGCTTGGCTAAGGAAGCGGAAAGATTCTTGATGCCGTCACACACTAGTCATCAAACGGCCGTCCAGCGTTAGGGCTAGGCCAGGCCGGATACGGTCATCGGGTAAAGCATCCCGCGAGGCACCCTACACGCTGAAACTAACAACCATGGTTGTTCACTACACACCGGAACCGACAACCGTGACATCAGTAGGGAAGTATGCTCACAAGGCCCAACAACGGCAGTAGTTGTCAGTGAGGATAGGGTTAAATGGGATAACGGCGGCGGTCTGCAAACTGCAGGCTGCCACGTCCCTCACATTTGACGGTGACGACATCACCCAGGTTGATGGTCATTAACCTCGGGTGTCAAGATCTTTTAACCAAAGTGCTGCAAACTTAGTGCGCGGTAAAAGATAACATTGGCTGGAACGTTCGTCGCTGCGAAAGCAGGCCCATGACACTGAGACAACGGCGAACGACAGCCCCACCTAGTGCTGAGGTCACCATCAATATCAGCAGACAAAATATCCAAGCCAGCCTAGACCCTACAAAGTCCCCAGAAACCACCGTGGCAAAAAGAGGTGGTTGGGCCGGTTCCACTGGAGCTGGCTGCCCTGTGGCAAGGTTGGCCGTTAGGCACGACCCCCTTCTGTCTGTCACCACCAAGACACCCCATGCTGTAGGAAACATATCCAAGTGTCTTCAAGGTGATATGAGAGGACTTAGAGGTAAGATGGGGAAACTACGATTCCCCTGTTCCTGCCTTGCTCCAAAGATAATAATCCCGACAGAAACTTGGTTATCACAGGATATTAGTGACAATGAAACTAGTATAGACCGTATGCGTCCGTTTAGGAAAGACAGGATGCTTAAGGAAGCAGATGGAGTGGCAGTGTTCATCAGTGACGATCTTAACGGTGAAAGAGCAACTGAAAACACACTTTTAGGGCTCCCAGACTCCATCTAGTGTCACTCTTCGGTCGGACACACCAATTACCTGGTGGGGGCATCTACAGAACTCCTACTAGGAGGGCAGAACATCGGCGGTGTCCTCTGCAAGTGATGTCCGGAGCTTCGTCCGTAGGACATGACCATGTCATTGTGGCCGGGGACCTCAGTGCTCAACTCTCAGTTTTGGGCGAGACAGGGGGACCTCAAGCAGAGAGTTCGACCGAAACCTACCCAACACTAGCCAAAAGGCTGGACTGCACGAGAATATTGGCGATAACACTCGCTAAAGGTAGAGCGGAAAACCGTCCAAACTGGACTGCCTTCTTGCCGGCGACCACCTACTGGCTGAAAACGTTCAGGCTCAAACCCTCTTGACAGCAGCGATTACGGTGTGTTAGTGTTCGATGTAGTATTCAGTGAACAACTGTCATTGGGGGATCTCGCCCTTGCCTTTGCTTCGGCAGGGTGGGCTAAGTGGTGATGAAACACTGTATTTCGACAGCATCATGGCCTCAGGAGTGGGGCAACCCCTCGATCGGTCAACACTGGGAAGTGGTTAGAGACATCATCAAGAGGACTATCTCCGAAAACGTCCCAGTAATCACAGCAATACCGAGGAAGCAAACTTCATGGTTAAAGCAAGGCGCTGAAACCCTTTTGAAAGCCAAAAGTAGAGCGTGGCATAAGTGGAGGACCTCCAGAAAAGAGGCAGGAGGTCGTTCCAGACGAAACTTGACCAGAAGCTCGAGGCGAACCCCAAAAACCCATATCAATTTATGGCGGGCAAAAAATCCACCAGCCAGGGGGCTTGCATTCTGAAGGACCTGAAGAGAGAGAATCCCTCTGGACTAGAGGTCGCAGAAGCCTGTAGCGCCGTCTTCGACACACAACTGAACACGTCTCCACCTGATCAAACTCGCCGACTGCCCAACCAGCATTCAGTGCCACCAAATGCAGTAGAGTTGCATGGAATAAAGGTAATTCCTGCTATGGTCTTCGAAAAGCTATCAAAGCTCCGCTTGAGGAGATCATCAGGATGCGACGACATCCTGCCGGCCCTGCTGAAACGATGCGCGGGTGCCTTGCAATAGAGGTTCGTGTTCGCGCGCTCCCTAAATAGTGACGTGTTTCGCTCGTCTCTCAGCTTCTGGATTTTTCCACGTTGAAAAACTCTCACTTGCAATACTCAATCTAAAAACATCGAACGTTTGCAGCACTTCTGTCCATCCACGCACCTCACCCCTGCGCATTCGTCAGCTCACTCCTCAACAGTTGAAAATTGGCATTATTATTCCTTTGAACCAACCGGTCTACCTCCTGTCAGTGGTTCTTGGGCGTTTCAGCTGCCAAACTGCCTTAGCTCTCGGTTCTCCTCGGAGGTCATTCCCCAGGAAATATCTTTCCTGGTTATACATACGCATCTGGAGCTTACGGTTAAACTCGTTGGTCAAGAGCAGAGGATCAAGTGACAAGTGTCTGAAGGTGAGCCAACATAAATTATCTTCCCTTTTCTATTCTGTCCTTTTCCTGCATTCAGTCTTCAACCCTCTTATTGTTGTTAACTACTTGTTTTCCCAAGAAGTTTATATCATAGCGACATGTCTGCCCAAAACGCTAGGTCTGAAGCTTTGACACGGATAACGCGGTCGTGCACAACAACGGCCAGTAACACCCTAAACAACACACTAGTCTGTACTAGAAGACAAACAGAGGTAGGGCAGAACACCGAACTTCTGAAGAAGTGGCCAACCCATGTTTCTAGAATTCCAGTAGCCATCAGACAGGTGACACAGAGCAGCACTAGCCCGTCACAAACTAGTCCTATCTTGAGCAAGGATCATACCATGCCTGAAATAGAAGACGACGTAAAAGGCTTCAGAACAAGGCAGCCACAAGCAGTTCGCCACAATCCGTAGCACCTTATTCATGGAAGGAAGGCTGTATTACGACACCCGATGGCTGCAGTGTTTGCACCAAAGTTGTTTCGGTAGTCGATGAGGCATTTGCATGCAACCTGTGTCAACGATGGGTGCATTGCCACTGCGATACCAAAGTCCCCCGACAATACTATAAGCTGATGAAGAGACAACCATGCAAGTGGTTCTGGTACATCTGTCCAGAGTGCAGGAAAATGCCCGCACTCCGCACAGAAAGCCTGAAGGAGATGCTCTCCGCCACGCAAAAGCTACCAGCATCCTCGAATAAGTAGGGTTAACACCAAAGGATAACACAGAGAGACCTGGAAACAGACCTAGAGCTCCAGCTGTGGGCACGCCATCTCGCGTGGGGACCATATTAGGTCAAGTCTCCATACCCCCACCCGGCCCCAGGGGACGTCAAGCGCATGGCCAAAGACATCGACCGCCGAAGCCTCTACGAAACCCATTCCGAACACCCCACACACCGTGACTGAGAAACAACCAGTGGAATTACTCAAACCCATTGGAAGTCGGGCGTGCCACCCACAACGAACCCAGGTCACAGGAGGACCAACTCGATCATTTTGTTCAACGTCGATGTATCGACAGACTCATTGTTGGTCGAGAGGGAACAATTTGACAGCCGAATGTGGACCGACTACTGTCAGATGCTGGGACTCCCTCCCCTCCCTGCAACTTTGTGTCGCCTTTCTCGAGGAAGCCATGCACCCCGAGATAAGCCCCCCCTTTACGTGTGTCCCTAAATACCGCCAAAGAGGCTGAAGACACACTCCTCCTCTCACGACAACCGGACGTTGTTAATGCCTGTAAAATTCGGGCCAGGCCTGACAAGCCATGGTCAGTAAGAGAGGAGGAGAGAAAGTCAGCGGTTGGAAATCCCAACAGAAACAACACTATAGTTGTACATGGGATTCCAGAATTGCCAAGTGACAGCTCGGTCAAAGATCGGTACTTTCACGACGTCCAACAATGGCAATGGCTCTCAACCAAAGTTGGTCTCAACAGTATACCGGCCAACAGCGTCAGTAGACTGCCAAGGCCAGCGCACCTGAAGACCATACCCAATCCCAGACTACTTGCCGTCCAGTTCGACTCATATGCCTCCCTCACAGACGTTCTGCACGCATGGTATAATGCGAAAGATCGCATGGGTGGCTCAATACGTATATGTGAAAGTAAGCCTAGACCCACAAGGCAAGAGGAGAGACGGCAACCACCAAGACCTCTGGAGTCAGTGGTCGTCACACAGGCGCTGACCAGTGAGTTAGATACATCAAGTAAAGAAGCCACCACTGCTACAGCCCCCACCCAAGTTAAGAACAAAACACAAAAAACGGAACAATGCCAGTCCTATGAGGACTGGCGAGGCTAAATTCAACCACGTAAGCGCTCATCCCCGAAAATACACATCCAGACCTCCCCTCTCATCAGGTACACTCTAATATGTATGTACAGCAACGTTAGGGGGCTAATAGGGAAGGTAGCAAAAATGAGGACGCTGCGTGAACATCAGCACTCCGACATCATATTCATCACCGAATCCTGGCTCTCATCGGACATCTCCGACGAAGAGATGCGTGTTGCTGGCATGGAACTCTTCCGCAGGGACAGGGAACATAGAGCAGGAGGGGGAGTGGCTATCTACGTAAACTCCTGTTTAAAGGCAAGGATGGTTAGCGATACGGCCTTAACCCAGCTCCCAGAGTCTCTATGGTGCTACTTCACTCTCTTCTTTATTCTCTCTTCATTCCTTTACCACTACCTTACTATTCTCTTCCAGGTACCTACACAGACAGGAGTCATGGCAGTTCTCTAAACTTCCCAGCAACCCGTAGCTCCCTAATCACTCTACAAATTACAACCTACTAACCCACAAAACATCCACCTCACCGAAGCTAAAAGCAAGAAAGCAGAGGGGATTTCCTCGTCCACTGCAGGAGTAAACCGAACAACTGGAACCAAGCCCTAAGAACTAGACGCGAGAGATCAAAAACTACCAGTTTTCTACAATCGCACTATCAATATTGGATATTGGAAGCCCTAAGAACTAAACATGAGAGAACAAAGACTACCAGTTTTCAACGCTCGCACTATCAATATTGGATATTGGATATTGGATCAATATTGGATATTTGAAATCACCCTTTTTGAAATGAAGGTCGTTTTGATGTTAAGACTGTGTTCACAACTTGGGAAAACTTACTCTTGTTGCTTGGTCCACGGGAATTATTATCATACAAGAACTTTTCCACACAATGTATTTACTGTTAGAGGTAACACATTGTCTTCATCCTGTAGTGACAATGTAACTTACAATGGCTTGTAATCAGCTAAGACTTTCAGGGGCGTCTCAAAATCTTCACCATCCCAAACTTACTAACTGTTTCTCGTATTGCACTTACTCCTCTCATTGTCAGTAATGTTGTTGGTGGTGATCTCAGTGCGGCCTTTGGTCTCACCATCGTAGCGGGACTAACTGATGTGGTGAGTTCTACTGGTAATAGTAATGGAATTATTTTTAAGCTAGATGGATTTATATCCCGGAATGTACCAAATCAGAAGTCAAATGTTGGAAGTTTCTTGGATCCTCTAGCGGATAAAATCCTTGTGACAGCTTTGGTCCTATCTTTAACATCTATGGACTTATTTCCAAGTAAAGATGTGCTTTCGCTTAGATTTCACTAGTTAGTCTTGCCTGTCTTTTCATTCTCCGTGATGTTGGGTTGGTGACTGTAGTTACTGCATCACTGTTGCGACACTATAGCGCAGTAAGTGATGAGGCTTTATTAAATTCTTCAAGCATAATTCAAAGACACTTGTACAGGAGGTGGAAATAAAAGCATCTAACGTCAGTAAGGTACGTTTACTTTTGCATAGGTTATTAAATAATACAGTATGTGTATTAGGCGGTATTCTGTCCGTTTTTATAGGGAAGTACGATTGTTCGCAGCTAAACAGCTTTTACTTGCATCTGCAAAGTATGCTGTGTATAACATGAGTTGCCACTTTTTAAGCACCACGACTTGGTGGTTCCTATATCCTCTCGGTCGCCTACTGTGTGATCTTTCGAATTCACGCCCACAATGGTTGTGATTAACAAGTATATACTCCTATTCGTTTACTGCTTCCTCTTATTTCGCCTATTCCTTGTTCGTCACAATATTTAGAGCTTCTTGTATCACTTCGACAGTAGTGTTTCTTAATTGGAGCCGAGCATTCATCCTGTATATGCACACACTCATATTCAACGTTGTGGGACTATGGTTTATTGGTGTAAGCAGTTGACTTCTAACCAGTAGGTCATGGTTTTGAGACTACCAAAGTTCGGCCAGCCAGGTAGTATCTTTAGCCTCTATACAACGGACAGCCCGTTGTCTGCTGCATGAATATGCACAAGGTTGCTGAGAGCATTTCGATTCAAGTCGATTTAAGGTTAGGATAAAACAAAGTACCATAAGTATGTTAGTTTTGTGATGCTAATGCGATATTTATGGATAAGGGTTTCCTAAGGTTGTAGGAAGAGGAATTGTCCGATAATTTAGTGCATGCCAGGAGACTAAATGAATCTATTATCCAGAATAAGTCTATTGATCAGACTCACTACGTCGTATTGTCATCCACGCAAGTACTAATGATTAACAGTTTCCTGTTGCATCAACGAAAGATAAGTTCGTTTTTAGTTTGCGTTAGTTAGGAGTGTTGACTAAATGTCTTTTATTTCTAATACCCCTTACAAACAGAAGGTTAGGTTTTTTTTATCTAGTCTCCATCGTGAGTTGAGATTTCAAGGTTGTTTGGTAGGGCATCTCATTGCTACACGGTAAATGTGCATCTCATTATTTCCACAATTCAGGCAACTCGGTGATAACTAATTAAATTTTTCGTATCCTTACCAAAAATTCGTTTGTCACCAACCAAATAGGAATAATAGAGCTTCTCAGACAAGTGAAATCGGCTTATTTAACCATTTTGCTGGTCATTGTCTAAACACGTGGGTACAGTCCAATCCTAAAGCTAGAACTGGTTTTTTCAGTATAAAGGGTTAGTCTGTTAAAATTTGTGGAGGACCCCAATTAGTTAGCATATCCATACAACAGTATTATGTCATGTGCGCAGCTTATAAAGATTGTAGTAATGTAAAATATCGATGAATTCGGATGAATTTAGCATATCAATTGCAGTGAACATTAGTAAAAATGGACCTAGTTGATTCTGGGTTCTGCTTGATGTAACCAACTCAGGCGATTGCTGTCCGTAAGGTTTTATATAACCATCATTGCTAAAGTCTCTTCTGTTCAACATTGTCACTAAACGTCTCGATCAACGCAGTTAAATCTCATTTTCAAGTCAGAAAATAAGTCAGATAGCTGGTACTCTTTGGTTTCTACTTATTTGAGCACCTAGAGTATGTTGAAAATATGTCTGATACATTGACAATTAGACTTGTTAGCTACCTCATTCGCTAGTAATTGGTATTCCTTAGCTTCAAGTAAGCGTAGATTGACTACAAATCTTACAGTCTTCAAAACTGTTGGTTGAGATAATTCTTCTGGTCATCATATGTTGATTTTAATCTCCGTAAATGACATTGTTTGGTCGAGGGTTGACTGAGCTTACTTTCGAAATTTCTTTAAACGGGCATAGTTTCATAGCCTTTTCTGGCTGTGTTCATTGCCTTCACGTAGTAGAAAATCTCTTCAGACGAGTGAAAGGATGCTGAATAATTAATCTATGCAGTCGAAAAACCGAAACTTCAAGCTAACAATGTGCACTGACGCTGGAGTGTTTAAGAAGAAAGTTACTTATGAATTTTCCTTGATCACTGAAACCTATCTAAATGCAGATCCTGACATTGATATACTACCGTAAGGATTAAACTTCATGTCAAAAGTTCCAGAAGTGGTTCCATGAGGTTAATATCCATTTCGGTCTGCTTGTTTAAATGGTTTCTCGGCCATCACACATAGTGATAAGAGACTACTATAAAGGTTATAAATCTCATACCTGACTCACTACTGATGAAGACTGCATTTCAAAATGCACACTCAGTTATTCATTTTATTGTTGGTATATTTGTATGTAGATTGAATAGCTTTATTCTAATTGTTTTGTTATGAACGGTTATTGTTTGAATTCTTAATCCTCCTCTGTCATCTTGAGTGCCTATGTAGTTGATTTCACACAGTTGCCGTGCAGTATGATATCTAACTGATAGTTTCGCTGACACCTAATTTCTCTATTTAAGCCTTCTAAATAATTTTTAGCAGTTATGTAGCAGCAAACAGACGCAAACCTGAGCGGATTGGTTGCTGACGAAATCTCAGCTTAGACACAGAAGGCCCAATTGGCATTTTCAACTTGCGTCACATGTGGCGCTGACTGGTGAGATATCCGACTATCTGTCAGAGGACGAGTATACTACGCTGCAGTCTATTTTGTGCTTTTGTACGGCTATGAAACGTGACTGTTAAAAGCTGAAGACAAAGCGATTATGGGGCTTTGATCACAGGTGTCTTATTAGTATTGCTCGCGTTTTGTGGAACCACCGTGTGAGAAATATTAAGGTCAGACGAAGAGTACTAGACAAAATGAGAAAGATGATTGATAAGGTTGTGAACTTTGAGTGACTAAGATGACTTGGAAATGTACTGTGCATGCCGATACACCGCCTTCCTCAACGTGCCATACTGGGGGAAGTTGGGTTAAGTTGGGAGGAAGTTCAGGGTGACCAGACTGAGACGTTGCACGAGTCCATGAAGTCTCTTACTGTCTGTGTGAACCGTGTAGGGAGATGTAGACTGCCTGGTTGGAGTCTCCAAGATGAAAGGAATCAGTGGTTAAGGACTCTTGGTGTCATGACGGGAAAACGATCACAATGGTGCAGATGTATTCACTCCCTGACATTTTCTAAAAATTGAATATTTTCACTAACCATTATCTTCAGATTGTTTATTCTGTCACACAGCTCTGTGTACTTTGATGTCGCTCTTTCTCTCTCCATTTGTTCTTTTTTCACTACTGTGAAATGTGACAACTTGAGCCGATGCACGTATGTACAAGGTTCTACGTTGATTTTGTCAGTCTGTCGGTTATCTAGCATTATAACCTCTGTTTTCATCGTTACTGTCCTAGTTTGATTAGAACCATCAGATCAACTTGTTCAATCTACATTTAAGTAATATCCTCTCATCTATTCTGCTCGGACCTAGTTAGGCTGACTGTTTATAAATTTAATAACACACGAAACTGGTGAAACCTACAGCTTTTTACCAGCTTTCTTTTGAAGGTCATCTATGTTTACTAACACTGTTTTAACACCATACTGGATTATGTTACCAAGCTACTTCAAGATTAGTAGTACTATCAGCTTAAAATACACCCTTAGTATTATCCACCTTCAAGTTAAGCTTGGAAATATCTTTCGTTGGGATTTTTCTACACATACTAAATGGCTGACACCTGCCTGCTGAAATCAGTGTATGTTTGAAGTTCAAGTGTGTGCTTCAAAGAAAGTTATTATCTATCTTGCTTATTGGTAGGTAACAACAGTTGTGTTTATGCGTTTATGCCAATTTGAATGAGGCCATTCAGTATCCTTTTGAGGAAGAAGATTGTTTTATAGTTTCTAGACAGACAGGACAGAATTAACGTTGAACCTCACACTAAGTACATCACCTCAAGTTACCACCCTTCACAGAATTATACGAAGATATCGAAGAGTACCACTGTGACTGATTTCAAGATATATCAGCACTGTTCCCATCGTTTCGGGGACCGCAATAAGATATTCTACACCCCACACGTCTGAAGCTAACAGTGCGAGACTTCAACTGGTGCCATGTTTTGATCTAGCCACTCTGAATCATCTTCCAATCTGATCCAAATTTCCCTAGCATGTTACGTCTAGGTAGTTGGTGATGGCTCGGCATGCGCAGTACATGTCCAAGCCATTCCCAGTTTCACCAACCGATTTGCCTGGCTTCTAAGACAAGTGTTGTTAGGTCCCCTCATCAACTTAGATTGAATGTATATTTTGCCTAACAAGTACATTATGAGAATGCAGTATGAATGCTAGGTCTAATCCTTATAGGATGTATCAAGTATAGTAAATCCATGATTAATTGTCTGTTTGTTCAAGTTGTAGGTGTCTACTCTGTGTAGATTCAATGACTATTTGGTTGATTTTAGGAAAAATAAACTAAAATTCAATTTCGGGTTTTGTGGGGATTTATTTATCGATTTTAAGCTGGCATTTATAATGGACTAACATCCGTTGGAAAAACATTGGACGGCTGTTTCACATTGATGGGTGACTTAACAGTGAGCATCCATGCCCCCCCCTCGGGGACCGAACCCAGAAGCTTCAGGTTCCTCTTCAAGCCCGTTACCATTGAACCACTCTGTTGGTGTTCAACGTTCCACATTTACCGACCTCAGTCAGTTCATGGTATAGCGTGACCTCAATCCGTTGTTATCGTTGTCTTCTGCACGACTTGGTTTGCTTGCTTGCTTCGAGATAAGATTTCTGAAGTTCTAATTGAAGGGTTGTGACTGGTGGGGCAAACCAAGTCGTACATGATGGCATTGGATTTAGGTCGCACTATACTGGAAACTGGCCGAAGTAGAAAAATTGGAACATTGGTTTCCCATTTAGTAGCTTGCTGGCTGTTGACCCTGAGGGTCCTCTGTTCAAGCCCTGGTGGGTGGGGTCATAGATGCTCACTTCTGAGGACCTCCAAACTGAGACAAAACAGCTGTCCGTTGCTCTGGGGTTCTCAGTGGTTCTATAGTTGATGTCAATCCGTGATAAATAGGCTGTAGACGCAAGTCCTCCGACTCTTACGAAAGATGAGAAATGCGTTTCAAAACTGAAATTATGCAAATTACCAGGACCCAACGGTTTTCAAGGATGGAGATAGGAAATTACTAATTTAACTAACTAGTGTATTGTGACGAGAGTTTGTCGCGTCAAACTAGTCTAAATCGCTGTTTATTTCAGTATATAAGAGGACAGTCTGTCTGTGATAGCCTTATGGGAATTAGTTTGACTAAGATCATGTCTGGGATACTAAATTCCATAGTCATGCGACACCTAGCTAGAGCTTAAGAACAATAATTAGCACTCTATTTTGTCGATCGATATGCTTTGGGGGTGTATAAATCTAAAGGGAGGATGCAAGCGACATCGCTTCGTTAGGCCAAGACACGGGAAGAACACTATGTGAGCAATATCAATTTTAAACGAAGGGTACTGGGCAAGGAAGGTAAGTCAGTCCATAAGGTTATGAACCCCCATCGACTGAAGTGGCTTTTACTTGTGGTGCACACGCTTAGCCACCATCAGCTACTTCGATGTACAATGCTAGCGGAAGTTGGATTAGGTTGGAAAAAGGCTCAGGTTGGCCAGGCGAAGACGTGGTACCAGTCAATGAAGTCTGACTACTATTGGTCTGAGCTGTGTAGGAGGTGCAAGTGGAGGGTCACTGAGACGATAGGAATCAGTAGTTGAGAACATTTGGTGTGATATGACTGAAAATCGGTGACAATGGTGCAGATGTATTCAATCTGACCTCTTCTAAAGATTGGACATTCTCAGTGACCATCATTTTTAAAATCCTCTTTCCTCACATGCCCTTCCTCTATTTTTATATCAGTCTTTTTCTATCCACTTGTTCTTTGCATACCACTGTCTGTTATGACAACTTGATCCGATGCACTTGTATGCGAGGTTATATATTGATCTTTTCTGTCTATCTGACAGAACGGTTAGTCTTTTGAACTCTTAATGAGAATCTCAGTGTCTCACGTGGGTTTGGCATCTATAAAATATAAGAATCTGCACCAACTACTAGTTCTAGGAGAGGGAGTAAAGTTATGGATTGGATGGACCAACTCACTTACTTGGGAGTTGCATCATCTCTGACAGGTTAGTTGTTGACAAAATGTCAGCTATTGTACTAAGCGTCCTTGTGCCATTTGATAAGGTACGCCACTTATCGTACCAGCAAAGCACGCGTGCATACACAAGAGTATGACTGTGACACATGACTATTGGAAGTTGGAAGGGTTACCTGTTTACGACCACAGGTATCTTCGTATCATAATGCGAGTATGGTAGAATCACCGTGTGAGTAATGATGACGTTATGCCTAGGGTGCTGGGCAAAGAAGACAAGTCTGTGAATGGGTTTGTTAACTTCATCGATTGAGGTGGCTTGGATGTATGTCGGATGCTGTACCGCCCCTACATCGATCTGTAATGTTAATCGAAGTGGGATTAGGTTTGGAGATCAAGATATTGCACTAATTCATGAGGTCTCCAACTGTTGGTTTGGACCGTATTGGTATATGTCGACTATTTGATTAATATCCCTGGAAGAATAGCAACTAATGGTTAGAAACTTTTTGTTGTTATATGGCTCGAAGTCACTCTCAGCGGCGCAAATGTATGTGCTTCTTGTCGTCTGCAAAGTGTTGAATATTTTCATTATGTCTCATCTCTTCATGTTTTCTTCTCTTCTACCTTTTTCTACTTGAATTTCATTATTTTCCTTCCAGCTTCTCTTTCACTGTAAAGTGTAGCAACTTGAACTAATGACACTATGTACTTGGTTCCACGTTTTTGATCTGCTTGCCGGGTCCAGGACTTTTTAACATCTAACACTAAAATTCAGTGCAACATTTGGCTTTATTATCACATTGTCATCTTGATCGATAGACTGGTCAGCGCTAAGCAATTAGGATTTGACTGCTACGTCGTTTGGTATTCAGCTAGTGACTTGTTCACATTCTCCAGTCCTCCAGGCGATCCATCCTTGTCTAATTAGCTTATTAATAGAGTTCCTGACATGGTTTTGGCATCTCAAGAGAATTAAAGTTTCCTCAAGATTGTAGATAGACTTTCCTGATGAGCATCTATGAGTACTGCACCACGGTGAAGCAGGAGTTCTTACCGATGGGCTTCTAGGTTGTACTTTTAATATTGTGTTACTACCGGTTGTTCACTGGTCAGTATATTGTCGCTTTGCGTCTACACAAATTCCAATCTCTCCCCTCTGCGCCACGTCCAATGAAAGTTGATGGTTATTTTTGTGAACCCAAGTTGATTTCTCGCAGTAGAACGATATCTATAAGGCCTAGTCATAGCTAATTTCAGGGAAAAGAATAATTTTGCTATCTTGACATTCGATTTCATAAACTTTCTCCAAGTTGCTTGCTAGACAAACGTAGATGTTTTAAACTTTGCTGTCAAATGGAATCGAATCGAAGAAATCGTAATCCACTCAGCAACCTTATGTACGTACATTCGTACATTAGTAGACGACAGTAAGCCACATCTGTTATTGTGTAACGTTTAATGATACCACCAATGGGCTGCCCAAATCACCTCAGTAAGTTGTGCGGTATTTGAACCCCGTGACCAATTGGTTGAAAGTTAACTTCCTAAACCAAAATAAGGCACAACTTTGCTGTCAGTGTTCATTAAAGTTTTAAGTGTATTCCCCACACAGCATTATCTTTCCTTTTCAATGTTGAATTTCGCCTAATTTTCAAGTGTTGAACAAATTATTTCTAATATCATGTAAACTTTTTTACTATGATAGTGTCACTTTAATTCTTTGTTTCATTGTTTCAACTAGCTGAACACACTTTGCCAATTATCTAGTGTTATACTAAGTATGACATATCCTTTGTATGGATTCCCTAATTATGAATACTTAGAGGTTGTTTGGTAAGTTTTAAAATAGTTTTTTATTATGCTTAAATCAAGCATTTCTAAATTTATTTTTCGATTCAAAACTACTGCAAAAATAAAAGTTTTATGCTTAAATTTTATAAATTTATCTGGTGGGAAATTTGAACGATCTTCTTCGTGCCTTTTTTCCACTCATGTGTATCACTCGATTTTTCTGCTTTCAAGGACGCTGCTCTCCTATTGGTTAACCTCCCAGTTTTGATGTACCCTTTTGTCTGTTCAACCCAAGAGCGCATACACTATATATAAACGCAAGAATTGTGTCCGTGGCCTTATTAGCTTCATACTTTATTAGAACACAACTATGGTACAGCAATGGCACCTAGAAATGTGCCTCACAAAATAGTATAACAACAATGTGAAGACATAAAGCGAAGGGAATTGGATAAGTAATAAAGAAAAGCAATAAGGATAGCGTGCTTAGAGGCGCAGTCCACTATGATAGATTCAAAACAAAGCATTCATTACTTTTCAGCAGCAAAAGATAGAAGTAAGCTACAATATATACGCCACTGCTTTCCATTCTCAGCCATATCTGGTAACACCTCAAGCTGCTGAGTTGTGTGATCTCTCGGACCCCAGGGAGTCGTGATGAACTAACTATCCTTCATCCCACGGCGCAACGTCATACACTCACCACCCCTTCGCCTCTTTCATCCAGTCCCAGGGTTAGCAAACAATAAACAGTATGGAAACCTTCGGGACGATATGCGTGAATAATATCTAATCTCTCTAACCCAGTGTTTCCACATGACTTCACTTATTGAGTGACGATTTCCATCATATCCAAATACACGCTTTCGTAACTCAGAATTACTTACACGGTGTTGCCACTGGATACAAGCAGTCTTATGGAGACAACGATGATCGAACGCACGGAGTCATGGGGTACACTCAGCTCGGAGATGCCAGGTTTCACAGGTGTACAGCAGAACTGCTCTCACCGAAGCGTTGTAAACCCGATGTAACATCGTGACGGTGCCAAAGGTGGTTCAAATGGGCGTATACCACTCTGAGTTCCGACATGGTGTTGGAGATTTCATCATTCACACTAACACTAGCATTCGCACAACTACCCAGATACTTCCAACGGTTCACCACCAAGGGTGAGCGCCGGCACAGACTCCTAATCTTGCAAAAGCATTTTGCACTTCAATGGTGCAAAGCACGTACCATGGTTACGGATACTAATCACCAACTGATTAAGTGCGACGAGCAGCTTGTGTTGTCGCATAGTAAGATGATATCGTCCACATATTCAAGGTTGAATAGCCGTTCTCCGGGTAGTAGATCTACACCACCATTGCTCACCTCCTTCAGAGCTGTTTTAAGAATGTCACCGATGGCAAAGTTAAAGAGGAATGGGAAAATCGGGAGATCCTACCTAACCCCACTGGTGGTTTAGAACAATTGAGACAGGTGGTTGTATGCCCTCACTCTACCTGAGGTGTTATTATATGCGGATTTCAAGATGTTAAGGAATTTCTCAGGGATGCACCTCTCCAATTGACAGTTACAGAGTACAACTGTGTCCAAAGAATCGAAGGAAGCCCTAATATCAGGAAGACAACGGTTGTTGGTCTGCAATACGTGTGGCGATGTTCAAACATCTGGCTTACGGTAAACGCATGATCATTGCATACACGACCTGAACGAAACCGCGCCTGCTCATCGCGAATTATTTCCTCGTATGTTTTACAGTCTTAGAGGTAATGTTAGCAGACAGTATTTCCGACGCGACTGGTAACAGACTAATACCCCGATGATTGTCACATACATTACTTAGACTCTTTTTAGGATGGACACAAGGATGGGTTCGCTTCATAGTGATGTAACTGTATTAGTCTGCTATGCCTCCTCAAACAGTGTAGTCAGTTTCCTGACTAGAGTCGTCCCTCCATCCTTAAAAAGAGTCGAGGGGTAAGTTATCTGGACCAGGTGCCTTGCGGCATTCCGTATAGACCTCCACTTGCTTAGGTGAGTCAATGTTAACTGACAATGGAGTACGATACAATGAAACCGAGGATGCCGAGGCAGTGGGCCAGCTAAACTGCTTTACAAAGTGCTCCACTCAGTGTTTCGGGACTCTTTAAAATTTGTTTGTTGGCGTACCGTCTACCTCACAGACCATCTCATTGAGACCAGGTTTCTTGCTGCCAGTGGCTCAGATGAGCTGGGACAGTTTCTAACTGTTGCTAGATACAGCTGCTGCTTCCATTTTACTCGCGCGTTGTAACCACCAAGCTTCACAATCCCTGCGTAAGCGTCGTGTGATCTTTCACGTAAGAGACTTACGCGAACCCTTGTACTTCTTATCCGCCGAAATAGTCCAATTGGCATCAAGAAGTTGTAGTGAACTCACAGAGACCGAGTGTTTATTAGTGGGACGTTCTTCCAAGTCACAAACGGCTTTGCTTACCATTTTCATGGCGTCTTGCACTTTCTGGAGGACCGGTAGCTAGCCTTAAATCTGACCACAGTGTTAGGTGCAACTGATTTGCCTCGACTGTTTAGGAGGACGATTGTTATGATCATCAAACGGTAAGACGAACTTAGCACAGTCAAATTCGGAGTAAACTCGCTTCAGTTCATCCAATATTGTCTTCTTGTATCAGCTGTTGAGCTACTTGTCAAGTATCGTATCGATCACCTAGTAGCTAGATTACTTGTTCCCAATGAATCATATCTAAGAATCTCAACGGAGTTTCTAACCATACTAGTTTCAAGGTTTCGTTGAAGTAAAAAGTGTGACAGAGTTTAAGGTTGTTCATAACCTTGTCTTTGAGATTAACTTTCCAACATAACCGGGGCATTTGGCCAAAATGTATGACACATCTGGGTGGTATAACTAAAAAGATCGGGCAACCAGTTGTGCACATATATATATGCGTAAATTGTAGGGAAAATTTATGGTCGATCACAGGATACCATGGAGCCGAGAGCAAGGCGAGGTTATTGTATTGCTCAGGGTTTTCATAAACTCTTCAGTATCCAAGTTGCACGATATTCCTCTATGTAGGTAGTATGACTTCTTCGAGTATTAGATCTATTGTTTTCCGGTCTGATAGTCTTTGATCAGTCCTTCTCACACTCAAGCTGCTAAATATGAAATAATGAGGGTTTCAACGATTGTAGAATGTTACAATACAGTAATATCTAGACCAAATGAGTTCACTGTATTGGCAAAGTTATATTACCCTTGTAGATCCTATAACCAATACTTAAAGAATGATAAACCATTTATGAAGAAGACATTCAAAAGACCTGTGAATAGTTTAAATATAACACAAGCGGTCATATCAGTAATATTTCAGTCACTGCACCGGAATCCTAAAAAGTGATCACCAACATAAGTATTGTTAAACTTGTAATTCGTCGTTGTTATACTGCATCGAATTTTTCGACCTCTGTTAACAGATGAGTTCCTATGTGGATGTCTCGATATTGCTTGATTATTCATTGTCTTGTAAATTTACTTCGTGGTGGCTAGCGGTCCCAGAATCGAGGATCCTCCTTTCTTCTTATTTTTTAGACTTATTCGTCAGCTGGGTGGTATCTGCACCATAGTGAGTGATGCTGTTTCCATTGTGTAGACGTGAACCTCTTACCCATTGCTTCAAACGCCAAAGTGTTATCCACTAGGTCACTAAGGTACGGCAGCCATCTCCTGTGCAAATAGAACAGAATGCGCTTCCTGGGTCTCTCTGTTTAAGAAATCTCCAATGGTAGTCGAAGGTAATGGTTAACAAAGATACTTTTCTATAGAGTAAAAATTCAGATGGAACATACCTTATATCAGCTCAAGAAGTAACGAAGCACTAAGATGTAAGACGGCGAGAGAAAGAGAAAAATCACCTACTCTTAATCTACCTACATTGGTCAAACCAACAGTCATGCACTTCATGCAACGATGTCATGTTTTAATATGACCATCCCGAGCCCTCTTCCAGCCTGAACATACTTCCGCCAACATTTTCTGATCAGGCAGACGGTGAATACGCATACGTAACACATCAACTGTCTTAACTCTCCCGCCTAAAACTCAACACTTGACTTCTGTGTTACTCACCTGGTGACACCACGACATACGACCTACACTCCGAAGGCAACGCTGGTTGAACACCTGAAGCCTTCTCATATCTTCCACTTTCAATGGCCATGTTTCACAGTCATACAGTAGAACAGAGCGGACTATACATCACAGTACACTCGAACGTTAACAGACAATCGGATATCACAGCGGCGACACAAATGGCGTAAGTTGGTGAAAACCAATTGAGCCTTTTGTATCCGCATAGACATTTCGTCGCCTAACGACCAGCACACTAGGGCTGATCTGACTTTCCAGGTGAGTGAAGTGTTTAACGCGCCCAATCACTTCACTCTGTATTGTTAGTGAACAATATCAATGACAAGTTTTACTGTGCTTAGATGTCTGCTCGACATTAGACATTGCACACACAAAAGGCAAACGAGTTATTTGAAATTACTTACATTATCACCTTTAATCTTTTACATGCACCAGAACCTACTGAAATTTATTTGAGTAAGCCAGACTTATGTGTTATAATTCCTATTTTACTTTGTTAAGGTATGTAAAAATGACCCCCACCGACTGCCCTATCCATTCTACAGTTCCTTTCTGTTTTTATCTCTTCTTATTTTTATGTAAATAGCGTCAACAATTAACCATCTGTAGTCACTATATTAACCCCTTACTGATAGCCAAGTGCGTTCAGATGTGGTAGTTGTTACAGGTGATTTCAATGTACAACAAGTGGGTAATCTAAGTCAAGCAGAAAGGCAATTAGGTAGCAATTTTGGAATTCCGCCCAGCTGAACGAATAGATAACACTGATCACCTACTACAGCTGTGCTCAGATAACCATTTATTTCCATCCAATATAAACTTCAGACACAAAGAAAGACATCGTTTGATGTTGTATCCATCGAGCTTAACTGTATTGCTGTCAGTCATCGCTGGAGAGGGTCAGAAGACTACCGCTCTTTCTGCAGCACGTGTTCGGGCGGTGACCACTTGTTGGCTCTAGCGCACGTATGTTTGCGTCTTAATTGACGAAGGAAAACTTAAGCAACCAGACCATTCCGAATGCAGCTTGACAGTGAGATCACTAAGGTTGCTTTCGGTGAAAAAAACTGACTCGGAAGTTATCAGAAGACAGTAATATCACCCATCAAGAAGCTTGGCGCCATCTCCAGTCTGCTATAAAAACAGTACTGAAGACCGTAGATGACTCTCAGAGAATGGTTAGGAAGAACCAGTGGATGTCAGCAGCTTCTGAATTGATAGATACACGCGAACGCAGCCCTGCAGGCCCTGAGAACAACGAGAAGCGAATGCAACTCAAATGTAGACTGTCAAAGAGTCTAAGCAATGACTGCGAACAGTGGTGGGCAGCGAAGGCTACAGAGATGGAAAAGGCAACGGCAGTATGTAACAGTAGATATTTATTTAGACTTATCAAGTAAACTCGAGGTAAAAGGTCAATGTTTAGTGAGAGGACGGAGGAGAAAAATGGGCTTGTGATTCATTCTCAGGGGAGACAACTGGAACGATGAGTGGAACACTGCGAGGAACTGTTCAGTTGGCCTCCAGCTACTATTTTTGTTGCCCACTATCCAGTTGGAGCCTGAATGGAACGTCGAGATAGGACCTCAGACACTTGAAGAAGTCGAGAAAGCTGTAGGTAACCTGGAACGAGGGGGAGCAACAGGGTCAGACGCATTAGTACCAGAAGTATTTTAAGACGGTGGTCAAGGATTATAAATCAAATTGACTGAAGTGTTAACTAGTGCAGGGGAATCAGATATAATCCTCTCTGACTGGTTTCAATCACTGATCGTCTTCTTATGATAACAGCCCGGCGAATATAGTGTCCAAGTTTCTAGGTTCTATAACCATCAGAGGTCTGAGTAAAGCTCGAGAACAGCAAGCCCGACAAAACCAGGCAGGTTGGAGACCTGGCCGTGGGTATATGGACCAGATATTCACACTCCACCAGTTTTTCTAAAACACATGTACACTTAACGACTCCTGACACTAGCTGTATTTCTCGATATGAAGGCGACATTCGAATTTATCGATCGAGAAGCCGTATGGCAGTGTCTTTAACTGAAAGGGGTACCGAATAAGCGCATCACTCCATTGAAGGCTCCTTACTCGAACATCCATGAGCATAATAGAGCCTATGGTGAGTTGTCACGTGAGCTGGGTACATCTAGTGGTGTCCGTTAAAGATACCCATTCTCTTTATCCCTGTTCAATTTTGTCATAGACATTATTATAGAGGCCTGTCTCTAGTCATCTAACTGCACAGGGATTGATCTAACCACCGAAGAATCATTGGTAGACCTAGAATACTCAAATGACATAGTCCCGTTAGGTAAAGACTCTAAAAAGAAGCAGTTATCGATACACCTTGAGTCGCAATTTGAGAAAGTTTGGGGTGCGTTTCTCGACAAGCAAATGCATATTGTTCCTCCAAGACTGGTCTTTAAGGATGCTGCGACTAACAATAGAGAGAGAAGTGATTGGGCGCGTTAAACACTTCACTCACCTGGAAAGTCAGATCAGCCCTAGTGTGCTGGTCATTAGGCGACGAAATGTCTATGCGGATACAAAAGGCTCAATTGGTTTTCACCAACTTACGCCATTTGTGTCGCCGCTGTGATATCCGATTGTCTGTTAACGTTCGAGTGTACTGTGATATATAGTCCGCTCTGTTCTACTGTATGACTGTGAAACATGGCCATTGAAAGTGGAAGATATGAGAAGGCTTCAGGTGTTCAACCAGCGTTGCCTTCGGAGTGTAGGTCGTATGTCGTGGTGTCACCAGGTGAGTAACACAGAAGTCAAGTGTTGAGTTTTAGGCGGGAGAGTTAAGACAGTTGATGTGTTACGTATGCGTATTCACCGTCTGCCTGATCAGAAAATGTTGGCGGAAGTATGTTCAGGCTGGAAGAGGGCTCGGGATGGTCATATTAAAACATGACATCGTTGCATGAAGTGCATGACTGTTGGTTTGAGCCATGTAGGGCGATGCAAACTGGTCGGTTGGGGTCCACATTCCAAGAGAGACCAGTAGTTGGAGATGTTAGGTGACGTGGATCCGAACCGTTGCTAGTGGGGTAGATGCATATGCACATTATCTTCACATAAACCGCTATACTTAATCTCACCGTCTTTCCATTATTTCTTCTTCTCTTTTACGACTTCTTTCGACGAATTTTCCTTTCCTTCTTCACTTTGCACTTTACTCCCTTGTTACTTAATGTATTGGTATGAGATGTGGCAACTTGGACCGTTACATAATAATACCTAGTGCTATGTTGATCTTCATGATGATGACGATTGATGTTGTTTTCATTTAAGCTAACCATGATGTGATCTGGACTTACTTATCATACGCTTTCGCGTATAGTTACCAGGAATACTTTGTGGTCGTTGATTTAAAGCATGTTTATTACACACATTAAATTTGAGTACTACTTTCTCCTACCTGGTATTCACTAAAAAGTGGTTGTATGTATATCTAAAGCTGTGGGAGTTAGTTGACATTTAACCAAGTAGGTTATAGGTTTGAACACGATTACTCTATCTCCTTTTCATGTATCTGAAGTTTATCAAGTCGTAACTTTTGAAAACCACAGTAAACAGATTATTGCATCCATGTGATTATCAGAACCCTGTCATGCTTTTCTTGAACTTCGGTATAACCGTGGACTTTGATAATTTCTGCTGTACTCAGAAAATTTATTCCATCTCAATTCAGACTAGTCTTCTACCTTTGTAATGTGTCTAGGGTAATGTTGTTTGTGTATTACTGCATCATTAATTGAATCAAATGGATGAGCAGATGTCTTGATTAAATTATTCCAGCAAGCGGCGGGATAAAACGAGCAACAACATGAAAACTGTACCTGTCGCTTAAGAAAAGTGGCTATCATGAATCGATGACTTTTGAAGTGATCATTACCGAGTTCATGTATTAATGAGAATAACACTGTTCACTTGAAGGTCAGGTACATTCAGCTGACGAGTGAATTGCAAGTAGGACAAAACGCACGTTCTGAATTATCCCAATGTTAACCACTATTCATCATTAGTATTTCGAGTAAGTTGGTTAAATGTACAGCACTGTTCTCGAATGCATGAAAAGTCTGAATATTATGAGAACCAACTCAATGCTAGAGAGTGTCCAAACCCTTACAGAACTTATGCTAAAGCTTCATGTAACTGTGGTGTAAAGTGGAAATACCGTCAAAGGTGTAGAATATGTGAAGAGGCTTCAGATATTACAACCATTAGCTCTATGTGTGTGTGTGTGTTTTGATGAAGTCTCAACCATGTTGTAGGTGATTTGTTTAACAATCGATCTTAGTGGCGCAGTTATATCACCCTCACATTAAACGTTTCGTCACTGTTTTCCTTTTTTTTTGTTTTTATTCATCTCTTCATATGGCTGTCTACAAATTTTGATCACACTGACTTCTACATCTGCCAACTTTTCCTCTTATTGATTTTAGTTTGAAATTCGTCATGAACTGACATCAGTTGGAGGAACATTGGAAACTTGGGGGCACCGGATAGCCAGATGTTCCGTCTTTGTATGGGACTCGTCAACGGTGCGCACCCACCCCGACAGGGATCGAGTCCAGGACCTTCAGGTTCCGTGGGCAGCACGTTACCATTGAGCTAGCCACTAGGTCGGAATCCAGTGGTCCATGTTTCTAACTCCTGTCAGTTGATGACATAGCGCATCCATTACCCAAAGTGACCGTTGAGTAACTGTCCTCATGTTCGACTTAGTTGACTCCACTGGTCACAGCTTGTCATCGGAACTTCAGGAGTCACCCACCTCTCGAAGCTAGTCATGAATGAGCTCTGGATTAATTCTGTCTTATTGCGTTGTATATTGAAGTGTGACAGCTGTTAACCGTTACACTGTAAGACTAATTCCCACTTGAATATTAACTGACTGGTGAATTACATATCCTCTCAGACTGAACTAGTTTACTATTATATTATTATTATTATATTGTGTGTTAAAGAATGTGTAATTCTTTTTACAGGCTCCTATCTGCTGGAACCACAATCTCATCTGGACTCGGATATCTAAGAAGTCTTCCTGAATGGAGACGACGTGTTACTCAGACAGCTACAAAACATAAATAAATCTTTCATGTACATTTACTTTTCAATGACCAATATGGATTTAATCTTCTAAACATATTATTCTCCTGTTTCAAACAGAATTTTTGCCATACTGCCGGTTTTCAAACTTCTTGATATGTGGATATAGACAAGGGACTAGTGTACAGAGAGAGAGACCGACCAAAATGTATTTTATGTGAGCTCGACCAATACCGCAACATGATTTCACCGTAGAACCCATGTGGTCGCACTTTCGACGCCACAGTCCAGATATAGAATGACATGTCTCCAGAATATCAACTACTGGGTAACCGTCAGAGAGATAGGAGTGTAGCCCAAACCGGTCACCGGGTGGTTGTGAAGTACATGCAGTTGGCTAGACATCTCATTCCTCTGGCCCTCTGGCCACACGCGCCTTGACCTCATCCCGCCTGTTCATCGGTCCAGTAACTACTCATGTGATACCAAGTGACCCTGGAAGAAGACACCCCTATCACCTAGCTGGCATTGTGGTGCTTGGTATTTCGTCAAACTTTGTCCACCTAAACAAAAGCCGTGCCAGCAATACACAATGAAGTGTTGAAAGGTCATCCTCCAGACATCACCGCAGATGTTATTCTCGATCGGTAGGTAAATCTCTATGTTTGATAGCTGATTTTCGTACTCATGCACTTGTCAGGCGAAAGAATATGGAGAAGACTACTGATGCCTCAGTAAACATGGAGGAACTCTTTCTGGATAGGTCAGATAGATACAAGAGGAAGACAGTGGGGCCCAGTCTCACCCGAGATAACATTCTCCTGAAGATGGAGGTGATATTAGGATAGCGAGAAATGACTAGTCTGGAGGGGGAGTGATCAAAATCTGGTTTATGTGATCATGTTTGCAGTTAGACAAAGAGACAGACGGTGAATCGGGCAACCAATAGGATTTTTTTAAACAGCGAATTACCTATATACCTTAGATATATTTTCTTTTGTTTTCGGGCCTTCGGCTTTTTCAACCCCAATGCACGTTTCTACATATCCATTGTGTTTTCTCTATTAGTTAGTTGGGTAGGAATCGACTAGGAAATTGTTGAATGTTGGTGGCTGAAAGTCGATATCCGTGCATCGTTAGCGCCCAATAACATATACCAATTTCCAAATCTTAACAATCATCTGTGCAGTAAGGTAATGTCTCAGTATTGTTTCTCTCTATATAACTTCTTTTTCACTACAAACACGTCGATTCTGTCTGAATGGCTGAAATCGTGAAGTGATTATGAACTTATTTGCATCAGCTGAATGTTGATGATGAAGATTACTTCTGTCAACGACTTAAAACAAGCTTCTTCGACGTTGTTGTTGTTGGAATACGTTAGTTTTTTTGCTAATGAGCCATTTTTTATGAATTTTTGATGGCTCACGTGCCCTAGTTGCCTAGTGAAAAGTGCGCTGGTGTTTGAAGTGATGAATACAGATTTCAAGTCTCAGTGGGAACAACACCATCACTCACTTGGGTGAGTGCAGATACATCCAGTTGACTGCTCAATCCTACATAGGACGAAACATGCTTTCTGGATCTAACTGGTAGCCATCAAATACATCTCAATTGAATGATAGTTTCAGTCTTTCATCCTCAAATGTGATCGTGCAAACATATAGATTTTACTGAATAGCTTTACGATGTTAGTTCCGTGAACCAATATGTTGTTCGACTGTGGTTGGTGCACTCAGTAGAAGATTTAATTCCCTTTCACTCCATTTTCTATATGATTGTTATTATTTGTCCCTTGGGTTCGTAGTGGAACATGGGGCTTCAGCAGCACGTCTCCATTTCACTCTGTTCTCTGCAGTCTTTTGAACCTGGCTCCACGACTGCCCGCAAGCCTTCATTTCTTCCTCACATCATCTCTACTTCACCCTCGCCTCGGACACTTAACTCGTCGTTTCCCCTTTAGATCTCAATTGAGTGCCTGGCGCGTGATGTCTCCGAATGGTTTTCTCAATGCATGCCCAATGTGTTGGCCTCGATAACCAAGGAGAAACTGCCAATAGTTGAACCAAAAGCGTTCTGCTGTTAGTGGAAGGCAGACTATCAGCCCACGAATAATGAACTCTTGAATACACTGTGGCCACAAGAATGACACTTTCTATTGATAGACGAATACTAGATACATATTAAACGCTTTGTCTGGAGCGTTATCTAAAAGAATGTTCAGAAAGTAAGCAGACGACAGCCTTTCAAATACTCTTGGATGAATCGCATAACCCTAAGGCAAATACAGGGAAAAAAGGGCGGATGATTAGTAGCATGCATCGCGTAAGTAATCGGACTTTCTTAGCCACAAGAAGTCACGCAACCCAAGTAACAAGCGATTGCAAGGACTGCTACATATTCCAGATTAACCTGGCTAAACAGCTAGGCTACAACCTAAAAAGCCTTGATCGATTTACTGACGTAAATCGATCACACCGAAAACCGACTAATAAATTTCCAAACTTCATCATAACATCGAACGCTGAGATAGCGGAACTACTGAAGAGCCGATTTGACGAGCAGCTTCACACAGTAATGAGTTCACTGTCAACATTCAGTAAGGTAACATAGCTGCTGCACTGGGATACAAGGCTGATGGATGTCAAGATTTTGTCAGACCAAGTGTTTACGAAGCTTTAAACAGCCAGAATAGGGAAATTTGTGGGCTGTGACGACATAAGGCCATTCGTCTCACAGAATTACGCCGAAAGGCTAAACATACCTATTGCGATCTGTTCACGTACTCATTGGAAGTAAATCCCCTCAAAGAATGTAGACGTCCTATCCTTTCACCAATCTTCAAGGGAGAAGACCGCAAACCCCTTGCAGCTACAAACTCAGCGTCACTAGCCTAACCATCCGAGGTAATGGAAGGCCTGGTTGAAGACGTCTGGCACTATATAGAGGGAAACAATGTCATCCATCCCACCAAACAGGGTTTCGGAACCGGACGGTCTTTTGCCTGACGGCTGCTTGGGGGGGGGACAGGAACACTAGACAGAACAACAGGCAGCCAGTCTACGTTATCTTTCTGGACCTGGCCAAAGCTTCCAATAGCGTCCCACACTACACCATGTCCACTAAACTTGCGAAACTGGGTATTACTGAACCATTCATAGCAAGGTTTACAGCGTATCTAGAGGACAGAAAATTCTGTGCTAGAGTAGACAGAATTCGTTTGGCCTAGAGGACAGCTGGAATAGGAGTTTCTCAAAGTCCGATTGTTGGGTCGATCCTGTTTTCACTATTCACACGTCACCCTCGTTCAAATCCCTTTGTCTACCCTCCTATTCGCCGTCAACAATAAAATATGGAGGAAAATAGGTAGGGAAAAGTATCCTAGGATACTCTAAAACCATCTAATACAGTTGGAAACCTGGTCAGCTGAGAATGGCTTGAGCTCTAACCTGGAAATGTGCAAGGTGGTGTGTCTTGACATAACGGAAGCGATGAAAATCAGCTACACCCTCAACAAGTGCGCAATCATCAGGGTCACCACAGAGAAGGGTCTAGAATTAGGCCTCTCTGACACACTGAATGCCAGTGCCAACTATAAGGAAATAGCCGCAAAGGCAAACGCCAACATACGCTTTCTAAGAAAGCAGCTTGGGACCCCAATCTCCGAACTATCTCTCATGGTATTTAAAACCACACTTTGAGAAGTTCAAGACGAAAGCTCATCCTCCAAGAAAGAGACACGAAGGTACTGTGGAGAAAGTTTAGAGAAGGGTGACAAAGTCAGCAGTCAGATTAACAGGCGAAACATGCCCACAACGCTTTATGTAACTCAGCTTGTTCACCTTAAACTATCGAAGTAAAAGCGGCGACCTAACAACGGGCTACATGATCAAATACCAAGTAGACCGCTCCAACAGGCAAGGAAAAGTACCTTCAAATACACAGTCACCATCTCCAAATCAATAAGCAGGAAAAAAATAAGAAATTCTGAGACTACAAAAGGAGTATAACAGAGCCACAAGATCTAGAAGCGAGAACTCTATTGATGTTAGATGTTGGATTTCACCAGAACAAAGAGTAGGATGAATTTTCGGCCATGTTACCGAAATTACTCAACCACTAGTTTCTATTGTCTCGAGGACCTTAGGTAGCCAATCTACACCTCCGCACACGACTCAGACCAACAATCAGAGACTCCACTGACTGGTGCAAAGTATTAGACATGCGCAGTACATGTCCAAGCCATCTTAGTCGACTAGGGCTCACAACCTCATCAACCGACATACCAGCCTTGCCTAGCACGCTTCGTCTAACCTTATCAGTGTTCACACAGTGATTCCATGAAACGTGAACGATGCTAAGCAGAAACTTGTGATCAAAACCTTGTATCTTCTATGGCCATTTTTCACAGCCATCTCCATGTGACGTTTACAACCTATGGCTGAAAACTGTATAGGATATGGCTTACAACTAGTTATAATGGCTCAGATATGTCTACATTCCTGCCTGTATTTTACTTTAAATAATTTAGATCCTACTGTCCTAAGACATTTTATTCTTTAAACTTAGTTGTTCTCCTTTCTCATCCCTTTTAATCATCGTCACCGATTTTGTTTTTATCGGTATTGTTGTGATTATTACGGGCAGTTGGTTCTCTCTTTTTCTGATGAGAGTCCCTTCACTTCGTCTTCCTATTTGTAGTACACATGTCAACTTGCATTAGTGCTGTTGTGTATATGCGAATGGGAACGCCACTCACTAGGTTACATTTACATCCGGCTGGTGAGTCATGAATAAGACGAAACGATCGTCAAGGTGGATTCCTTTGCCAGTCACCAACATCAGTATAACATGGTGATGTCCACACTTTCCAGGAAACTGGTTAGCAGATTTGTGAACCTGTTGGGATGGTGGTTCTTTAATCAAATCAACAAATATTCCCTTTAACCGACTTCAGAATCAACACTCTCTCTTTAAAATACTTCTGTGTAAAAGATTGTCATATCTGTTCCTTTCATTTACTGATGTAAAATTGGGTTTGT